TTTGAAAGCAATGCTCTCATCTGGGAGAACTGCAGCAGATGTTTATCAGGAGCTACTGCAACAGTTAATCCAGCTTCCAGTCAGATTAACTCTTTGCTGTTAGAAATGAGACTTGTTGGGCACGCCGTCTGCAGCAAACAACGTCCGCTGCTGCTGACAACAAGGAGTTAACCAAAGGAAGTTAAAAAACAAGCTCCAAAGCCCGACCAAATAAACCAACGTCTGGCCCAAAAAGATGAACAGGTGTATGTGTGGGTGGGAGTGTGGGGGGAAAACATTGAAACAAAGCCTCCACTGACATTCTGGTCACTGAGGAGGGTACACTGGAGATGCGTCAAACAGTATTATTTGAACAATTCAGCAAATAATGGATTATGGATTTTTTTTTTTTTTTTTTTGGAGAGGACAGGAATCACTGTTTTTGATCTTGGTTTCCGAAGTGCAGTACTAATGCATCGCAGCAACAACTCGGTGGTTGTTCTATTTAAAGATGTTATGAGTAAGAATGAAAATCGGAAGGTACCAAACTGGATCATTCAACAATAATTCAGCAGCTCAGAAATAACACAGTTTTCAAAATACTAACACGGTACTAAAAATCTACCTTAGTGACATCACATTACAGCGGACTACACTGTTTTTCTCTTTTATTAAAACTGAATAATTTAATGGCAGTTCATTTTTTTTCATGTAACTAATTATAGAACCTATGGACGTAAGCTGGTTTTTACACCTTAAAGGTACAACTGCAAATTACATTGTTGGTTAGAGCAGGAATCTTTATTTCTTTATGGGACCACATTCAGTCCACATGCACAACCTTTCTCAAAGGCAAGCACGGGGCTGATGGGTCACAACCCCTCAACCATTCCTCCCTGCTTCTCATTTCACAGGAGTTTAATTTTGGCAAAATCATGGAGCACTCGTGAAAGCAGAGGGAGAAGTTCTGCCTCCCGACCACCATCCCAAAGACAGGGAGCAGGAAGGGAACCGCTCCACAGCCATGCTACCCTCCCCTGCATATGGGATTCTGTGATTTCAGCTTTGCCCCTGCACACGGATTTCAGCTCAGGCAGGCATCTTCCAGCTGCAACAAAAGGAGAGCAGGTCACTCATTCTGCAAACTCTGCTCATAACTTCCTTCCAGACTGAAAAATATATCAGTTTGTTATTTTGCTTGCCTAAACAAAGAAAAACAAATATCGCTTTGTCAAGCATCAAGACAACCTACAAAGATTTTGTTTACTAATTGTTAGGCTGAACAATAAACAAATAAACAGCTTAAGGGAGTCCTTATGACCCTGCAGTATCTCTGTTGCTGATGCAGAACGGGTCAGAACTCTCTAGTTTTATTCTTGGCATTACCCTCAAAGAAACAGCAAGGATTATCAGCCACTTTGTGTCTGATGCAGAGATCACTGCTATTTATTCACAGAAATGTTGATCAGTACTTCTCTGGTTCTAAATAGAGAGGTGACCACGCAGCCATGCGCCAGCAATACCTTCATGCCTGCATGGAGACCACCTGCATTCTGGCTGCCTGCTTGTTTGGGTTTCTATCTCCTACATATCAAACATCACGAAACCACACATCTAATATCATACACCACCAGAAGGTTCTGTTTCTCATATTTTTGGCATTCCACAGGAAAATACTGACACTCCATTCTGTGAGTCCAACCATGAGTACCTTTTGTTCATAGCTTCAACATTGATGGTAAGTTTTGCACATTAACAGTACGAAGTATGACTTAAATCGAACCTTAAACATAAATGTTATTTAAACAGGTGAACTGGAAACAATGATTTCAATAATTCCATTTTGCAAATAGAGTTCTCTAAAAGAACTGTTTGCTTTCAATGGTTGTTAGCTCTTGCTGAGTAGGGAAATAAACTACATACATCTACTTAAGTAGTTATGGAGCTTAATATGCTCTAGATGTTTTATTTTTACATTTTATTAAGCAGACAATTTACTAGGCAATTATTTTTTTAAACGTGATTCCTAAGCGCTTCAGAAATATTTAATAAGTCTTAAAGCACCTTTTATCATGGCGATCCTTCCCATTCTCTAGAAGGCCAACCCAAGGCTTGATTCTTCTTCCACCAGACCAAATAAGCTCCAGGATAGCAGGATTGCTCTCCCCTGTATCAATCACCACCTGTTGCATGGAACTCTTCACCCTGGCTCAGCAATGAGAACAATTTGCACCAGCAGGGAGAGAGTCAGCAATGAAGGCTGATTGCCAGGAGGCAGCAGAACATTGGAAGAAGTGCCGGTGCAGGAACAAGGAGGTTTTGCTGGGTGCTTTTATCAAGATGCCAACTTCACATTAATCTTTATGAGACTTTGCCTCATAAAATTCTGAAATAAAAATAATACACAGAAAACCAACTGCTGTCTTTCACAGGAACGTGGCTCACTTTGGGCTTCAATTACTCTGCCATGAGTAACAAGTTCAATTTAGTATGAACTCAAGGAAAAGGAGTTTAAAAATACATGCATACACCTCAAGCATCCATCAGTACAGCTGCCTTTATGCTGCATCTCTCCTCTTTCTGCCTATATACTACTCCATGTCTAACTGAATCATCATACACCAATTTCCAAGTTGTACAATGCCTGATCTCTGGCTTGAGCACTCGTTCCTTAATAATGTGCATCAAAATCTGCAGCGTGTTCTGCCAACAGTGCTTGTCATGACTGTCCCAGAATGATTCCCGAGCACTGAACACTGCACAGCCAGATGTGCAGCCAGACTGAGGATTTACACATTGCACAGCTTGTGCCCTAAGGGACAGAGCCAGATCTAAAAAGCTTCTGAGTCAAGACGGGAGGTGTGCAAGAAGCAGAAAGAGAAGTACAGAGTGAATTTTAAGTCTTTTAATGGTCTCTCCCCATTATGCCTATTCTTCATTCCTACTAAACACTACTCATGCCCCAGGCTGATCCATGATGCAAGATCCTATTTTTCAGAGAGCAGATCCATTTCTTCCCAGTTTGGGAGAGGAAGGAAGTGTGTTTACTTTGTGCTGCATTCAACCCAACACAGCAGCATTCTTAACAACACAGTGTGATGGTCTCTGAAAGGGGGGGCCTCACAAAAACCAACGGTGAAGGACGCCTTGACATTTCTGAGTGAAGTGCAGATACTGAAGATGATGCTTAGTTAGGCCACATCCCACTCATGACCATTCCTGAGCCGTGCAGCATGGGGTGAGGGGCAGAATGCAGAGTGCTGGAGGAAAACCGAAAATAGTACAGGACAAGTCTGGTACAGGTCACCTTATAAAATGCTGATGGGACAAGCACTATCAGACTTACGGAGGAAGCTTGAGGTGGACAGCCAGCATGGAGAAAGCTGCAGTTCTAATGATGAGCCCTGAAGCTGCCAGCATCCATCCTGCTGCAAGTCCTCGTCTTCAGCTTTGTATACTGAACCCAGTTGTTTGAAAGGCATGGAGCTGTGCCAGTGGAGGGCCATGTGGGGGTTAAAGACAGGGCCTGCACCAGAGGGCAGTGGGCATGGAACGGGCTGCCCAGGACAGTGGGCACAGCCCTGAGCTGCTGGAGTTCAAAGAATGTTCAAACACTGCTCTCAGCCATATGGTTTGGGAGGCTCTGTGTGGAGCCAGGTGTTGAACTCCAAGATCCTTGTAGGTCCCTTCCAACTGGGATATTCCATGATTGTATGACACAAATGAGCAGAACCCAACCACAGATTCTGCTGCCTCGAGAGAGAGAGGAGTGGGAACTGGGTAGGCCGGAGTGAGGCCAGGGAGCTGCTGGGAGAAAGCAGCCATTCGAAAACAAAACAGAAAGAAGGCTTCATACCAGAAACCATCTTAACCTCCTGCACACATTTCTCAATGCTCCCAACACCTCATCCAGCCCATGAATTAACCAGACTGAGCCGAATGGTTGTTGTGAGCCCAGCTCCTAGTGCCCCACATGCTCCCATCTGCCTGCACGAGGCAGGCTCCGGGACCAAAGGCTGCAGTGATGAAAATCCATGCTTCACACACACAGTTACTGCAACAAGAGGGCTATAAAAGTCCTTGTACCACTTACATTATTTCTCCCCTTTGAGGAACTCTGCCACCTGGAAATTTTATACATTGCACTTTGTACGGGTGGTAACGTTACAGCTCAGGAATCACACATCTTTACAAACAGTAGATTATTTTTTCTCTGTGTAATCAAAACAGTCATTTGAAAACAAACATGATGCGTAATTGTCATCAGAAGTTTTCCAGCCCAACACTGCGTGTGTTTACAGATAAAAATTACACTTCTGAAGCAAGCACTACAGCTATCAGTGAAAACTGCTGCTGTCAGTCGCATCGCTATCTCGCAGGCATCGCTCCCTCAAAGAACTCCATAACCCCTCGAGCTTTACCGAGAACACATTCTCTCTCTCCATCCAATTAATTCACTAATGGGAAAAAAACAAAAAACAAAAAACCGAACACTTCTTGAAACTCTAATTTGCAAACATTCAGATACATAGGTAGGCAATAGATAAGGAATTCAAAGACTTTTGTAGAATCACAGAATGGTATGGCTTGGAAGGGACCTTAAAGCCTTTCCAGTTCCAATCCCCTCCCGTGGGCTGGGTGCCCCCCACCAGCTCAGGCTGCCCGGGGCTCATCCAACCTGGCCTTGAGCACCTCCAGGGATGGGGCACCCACAGCTCTCTGGCCAGGGCCTCACTGCTCTCTGGGCAAAGAATGTCCTCCTAACATCTAACATAAATATCCCCTCCTTCAGTTCAAAATCATTCCCCCTTTGCTCCCATCACTGTTTGTATTTCCATTCCAGTAAGTCTACAAGTAGATATCAAACAGACACAGAGTTACTTTTGCTGTTTTCTTGGGATACTCTGAAAAAGTTTACATTGAGTATGACATACATACCTTGTTTTTATAGATAGTTAAATATATATATGTATATTATATATATGTATTACATATACTTGTATATATGATATATACGCACATAAAATATGAAAACATTTTATATATATTATAAAAGCCACACTGACATGAAATCAAAACAGGATACAATGTACACAGGGTTATTTCTCCTTTTAAAAAGTCCTTACTGAGCTGCAACTAGGTTAATGTTGAAAGTACATAGTGCTTATATACATATTGATGTACTTACACATTTCATAGTTCACATATCTGCATCTCCCCTATCCACGTGCCCACAGCCACAGAGCACAAAGCACAGCAGTCTCAGCCACCCACACACCCATCTCCCATAGCACAGGGACTTAGGGAGCTCTGTGCAGCATTGCACTCTGCCTGTATGTTGTTGTGACAAACCCTTGCCTTGCAACAGGTGCAGCCCCCACTGCCCTGCAGCTCCAGGAGAGAAAAATGGGGGTTTTTAGGCCTAGCAGCAGGCCCAGCTCTGCGAGCATCCCTGTCTCTAAGGGAATGGCAAAGGGGTTAATGGCATCAAGAGCGACAGCACCGCTCATCCCAACCCAAACTCATCCAAACCCAAACTGCTAAACTGGGGTGCTGAAACGTTTCAGTAACAATTTTATAAAAAATAACAATAATAATTATTAGGCACCGATTTCCAACCAGGCATTTTTATCTAAATTTCCCACTCTTTGCTTCTATCACCCAATTGATTACATGAATGCACCATTCCAGCACTGCTCCTGGAGGTACTGCGGTGTGCTGACATTTCTCACTAACAGCGAGCTGGAATTGAAAGCAAATGTGGCTGCTGAGCTCACGGTGCGAAGGAAAGTTGCAGAACGCACCAGAACACATCACAGAACATATCTCCATCAGACATAACTTGTTTTTCCCCTCCATGAAACGCAGAACTCAGAAAGATGGGTGCGATTTTAATAAGGAACTTCAAGGATGGGCGACCATAAAACGCACCGCGAATTAAAAAAGGGGAGAGCGGATGCCAGGAAATAAAGCACAGCCAAATCTGTGCCTGAGATGCGCACCAGAGGAGAGGCTGGCGAGAGAAAAGCGGAGCGCACGGAACTTCCTATTTGCTATTTTGAACGGAAGGCGGACGCGCAGCGCTCGGTCACAGCCCACTTCCGACGGCCGCCAAGTGTCACCGCGGGTGGGGGGGGGTGGGGGTCGGACGGGGCGGTCAACGAGCGCTCCATGGGAGCCGGGCAGAGCCGCGCAACGAAGAGCCCCTTCGGAAACCAAATAAGAACACGAGGAACGGGAAGACGAGCGCGCTGAATGAGAACGCAGCACTGCGTTCCCACGCCGCCGCTCTGCGCGTCCGGTTGCGCGGCCACCCCGCCCTGCGCGCTCCGGAGGTGGGTGGATAAATGGAAAAAATTGTGTATGCGTGTGTGGGGGGGAGAGGGGGAGGGTTAAAAATGATTAAAATATCAACGAAAAGAAACGAAGCACCCCGCCGGGTCGGGCGCTGCCGGAGCCCCCCGCGCACCCACCTTGCATCCCCGCCGCCGGCCCCGCCGCGATCTGCCTCCGCCGCTGAAAATACGGAGCAGGCGGCGGCGGCCAATCGGAGCGCGCGGCGCCACGCCCGCAGCCAATGGCGACCGCCCGCCGCTGGCCGCCCGCCAACCCGGGCGCAGCTCATTAGGCGGCCGCCAGCAGCGGGGGAGGGGCGCGGCACCGCCGGGGGGTGGAGGGGGGGACGGGAACCTCCTTCCCCCACTTTTTTTTTATTCCCTTTTTTTCCACTTTTTCATCTCTCCTCCTTTGATTCCTTCCCCCCTTTCTACCACTTATATCGGCCTTTATACCTTTATTCCCATCCCCCCCTCCCACCTTTCTCCCTTTCTTGTTCTTTCCTTTTCCCCAGTTTTTACCTTTTTCATTTTTTTTTCTTTTTTCCCATTTTTTTTTCCCTTTTCCTTTATTATTATTATTATTATTTTGAAGCACAATCGGGAGACTGTTTTACAGTGCCACTGCCCAGCTCATCTTCAGGAATCCCAACAGTGAAGGGGATGGAAACACCACCACATCCCCCAGCTACAGCCTGGGGCTCACAAGTGCTCACTCAGCCCCATTCCTTTCCAACAATGAGATGTAAAAACTGAGTTGCTACCATCCACCCCACCTTAGGAACGCCAGCTCCAAACCCAGAGCTGTGCAGGCCACAGCTTCACTCCAGCTCACTGAGCTTTGTGCTCTACCACGACTGGGAAATCAATAGCAAAAAAAAAAAAAAAAAAGAATCATTATTAATCATTATTAACTTGAGTTCAACAACTTTGGAAACAAGTATCCGCTTTGCTAAAACTGCTCTGCCCTCATCTGGCCCCACCTGCAGTGCTGCATCCAGGAGCCCTCAGCACAAGAAGGGCACGGAGCTGTGGGTGCCCCATCCCTGGATGTGCTGAGGGCTGGGTTGGATGGTGCCCCAGACAGCCTGAGCTGATGGGGGGCATCCAGCCCATGGCAGGGGGTGGAAATGGATGAGCTTTAAGATCCTTTCCAAACGCAAACCACGCTGTGATTCTATGAAAATTACTAAATCACATTCGCTGAAAACTCCTGCCCCAACAAGCCCCATTATTAATTAGCTGAGTGTGTGCTAATACAGGCTACCACACGCCGTGAGGTGGTAGAGCTGATACCGACCGAGTCCCGATGCTGACTTACAGCAGGAAGCAGCTCCCCAGCAGCTCAGCACAACGGATCTGGATGGAGCCCCATGAGCCACGCAGCCAGCAGAGCCCCCAGCCGCTGCCAGGCCGCAGTGGCTGTGACACCTCTCCCAGCCCTGGCATCTGCAGCCATCGATAAAGTGACCCAGCGAATGAATAAAATACAGATCACGAAGCTTACCGTTTTATTAAAGGATAATTTTGCGATAACCAAGTAATGTGGATGCTTCCAAGCATAAGATTAAATTACATGCTGAGCAAATCTGGCGTTTTGTGATAAACTACAAAAATAGTCTTTGCAACTGAGGAAGAACGTTGCTGACATCGTCCATAAACATGTTTTATAAAGCATCACCAAGAGTAACAAAAAAAAAGTCACTGAAGTGATGGTTGGAAAATTCACTTCCATATCCACTATAATTACTTCTGAGACTTCTTGCTTTGCAATTTATTCCTTCAAATACATTGAAGGAATGTACTGCTCGGTGTCAGAAGTTAACACAACTCTCCCCTATGCAGGCGAATATTATAAAGCCAAATTAATTCCTTAACTGATCTGACATCAGCCATCGTTGTTATGGGAATACACAAAGATTCCCAGCACCTCTGTGCTGACAAGGAATTTAGGGAAGCACTCAAAGCCCAGTGGCACAGCCGACAGACAGATGTCTGCCATCACCATCCCCAAATCAGCCCTAGTCCTCTGCATCGCCAAATATGTCGTGCTCTCACACAGCCCTCACACGCTCACAGCCTTGCCAGCTCTTCCAAAGATTGCTCTTACAGTAGGACATCCATCATCTCCTGGAATTGTACTTTTAAGTTGCACCGCTTCAGAACTGAATGGAGTCCCTGGGTATTTTATATGCCTAAGATACAGAACTCCCACGGACTTCCCAGCTAAACACAGGACACAAGGTCTTTCCCATCCTTCTTGCTAACTAATAAGTAATGGAGGCTTAATTCTGAGACGCTGTCATGAAACAAAAATCAAATAGAGCCTAAGTGATATAAAACAGCATTTGTTTCTATTAGATCCATTATGAATTGAATTCCTGTTTTAAAACAAATGACATTTAATAATATATTAAACATGTAAACAGGAACATATTTGAAGTTATAACCTCATCAGCTCTTTCTCATGACATTCATTTTCTCCAAGGCCATCTCCACATTTCAATTTAATCGTTTATAGAACATTGCTAAGTTAATAAGCAGACATGGTACCTTAAAAATGGCTTCCTCCCTGGGTAAGCTGCTGTCTTCCTTAACTACAGCAACTTAGATTGGTAGGAAAATAAATCTGTTCTCTGGCATATTGTTAGCAACTTGAAATTTATTATAAGATGTTCTTTTTCTTCAAGTATTTTTATTTGGAAAACGTAACCAATTATTCCTGCTTACAAAGGACCGTTTGTTTCAAGATTTTACAAATTTTCTGCATGGCGATCATTTCATTTCCAAAGAAAATATCCACGCTGCTATGAATCTTTTCAGCCACCAAAGCACGACTACACGCAGCAGCAATGCATATTTTAGAGAAGAAGCAAACAGGACAAGTTTCAGAACTACACCCACCACCCTGAAGACAAGATGAGGCGAGAGCATTTTTCCTTACCATAAATTACCACTGCCTCCTATAAGCAATTATTTAACTTCTAAAATAGCTGCAACGCAGACAAATTACAAGCTGTAATTACGCAAATGAATCCCTGATACTATATGCACACATGCATATATGTATATCTTCATCTATTCTAAAATGCATCTGTATGCATAATGTTAAGAATTATAATCAAGTATAGTATACCAGGTCATATTTACCTTATCACTCCAGATGACAGTGTTTCTATCCTAAATATGTGAAAACCATTTCAGTAGTCAAAAATGCCCACTGCTGCTCTTCATTCACACAGAACCAGTCCCCTAACCCACTAGCACCTTCCCAGTACCTGAATGCTGGATGTATTGGCAGCATCTTGCATAGCTGGCCAGTTCTCAGCTGCTTTGGACACTGGACACTGTGCTGGACAGCACTTACTGTCTGATATCTTAAGTCACACCACGAAAACAAATTTAAATTTGAACGTTCCTGAACTATTCTGCCATGCTCTGAAAGGACACTGTCAGGTCTTGGTAGGAAACAACTCCTGCCAAAGGAGCAGGAGTTCTGCTCAGCCTCCATCACAACGAGAAGCGCTGCCGTTCTCTTGTTCATACATCAAATTTGCCAGATATTCATCTTAGACACTGGACAACACGGTGGATCTCTAACATAACCACTGCTTTAAGGTCTCTTAACCTCCACACCTCTGCATATGGCTTCTTGTTTGCCCAGGGCTTGTACTAGTGCTCACTGAATTAGGGAATGACAGAGGAGGTGACACCACGGAGAGGTCTAAAGGGTGGGTTAGGCAATCTCCATATGCTCAGTGGTTTGAGTATTTCTTTTATTCACTTCCTAAAACACCAAATTTACAGTATTCATCATACAATGAATATTACATAACAATGATCTCGGGTGAGCTTTTACTTAACATTACTCTTTGCACTCTTACAGGGTTTTAAAATGCCAGATTCCCACATATCTGTGTTTTCCAGGGAAATTTAATAAAAAGATGGCAATCTAATACAGTTGTCTTTTTTTCTATGCTGCTTTTCAGTGCTGATAAAATACAGAGCTACAATAAAAAGCCTTGATACTTCCTGATTTAAAGTACAAGAAAAAATGCTATTTTTAAAGTCAAAATCTGTTATAATGATGGGGATGGGGTTGGAGTTTTGGTTTCTATTTTTTTCTTTACTTACAGTGAAAATTCTGAATATTGTACATGCACATTCACATCATTTTGCAAAACTGTCAACGCCAGATATGTGCTTCCTTCTTTGAACTATCTCCCTGTGTTGTAACCTTCAGCTAAATTTGAAAATATTTTGGTAAACATAACTGGTGTTTCATGGGCGTAATTCTGAGAGCATAAGGAATTTAAGAAAACAGTTGATACAGTACTAAAATCTAAAACAGGATTTTAAGAAATTGTCTGCTCTCTCAGCTAAGCAAGCCAGCCAGCTAACCACCTAGAAACGTGGAGCTGTAGCCCAGCCACTTCCTCCTACATATTCTTCCCAGTACAATCTTTTTGGAGCTACTGAGCTCCTTCTGAAGGCTATTTGTACGTTCTGTTATGGTCAAATATCTATTACATGATGTTTTCCTTCTCTTAATGCATTTAGCTTATGTATCTCCATACTTGTATCTCATTTACCACAATAGGTTTGCACTCCAAAAGCAGATTGTCTCAGATACGTAATGAATGTCCATGCTTTTCCCAGATAAATAAAATAGTTTGAATAAAGCAATAGAAGTGCTAATGGTGCAACACATTTCTTAAAAGCACAGGTCTAAGAAGGATTTCATGTGGGGATACTATAGGACTATGCAAAAGCAGTCCTGCCATCCACTTGAGCTTCCAGTGAATGAAGCATATCCATTTTTCCACCCCTCTCACCAGAATGCTGCTGTGGAATTGGGACACTCCAGAAATCAGAAAGCCTCTTTTAGGGAAGCCTTGATTAAATTCAGCATTTGTTCTACCATTTTTGCTTCTGCAGCCTTTGGCTCCCAGTTCTCTTACTTTGGCTCCATACTGGTTCCCTTTTATCTAACATGAGTCTCTTTATCTCATTCAAAAAAAAAAAAAAAAAAAAACCCTCACACTGATAAAGCAGAAAATTCTGTTCACTTGTTTTTATACACACCACAGGGGCTGCTAATGCACATCCTGTGATCATTCAGGACTCGTTATCTATAATGAGGATCTTGTTGTAAATGCCCATTTTACAAAACTCCGCCATTACTCACTTAGAAGATACGACCTTCAATTTTACATTTTGAATTTGATTCCACTTCTGTTAGCCCAGTTTTCAAAGTCATCTCAGTTATTTCTGTACAACATCCTGATTCTCTTCTATATTTAGGATGCCTTCCAATTTTGTCATTAGCACAGCCCTGCTACTGATGCCAGGTGATGCACATTAAACAAGTCAGTCTCAATGCTCCACTGGTAACCTCTCTGGCATGCCACACATTTTAGAAAAATATTTCACTTTCATAAACAACTGCCAGTAAATAGAGCAGGAAGAAATAATTCTTTTTGAGGTCTTCCGTCCAGCTGCATCCACTCTGCTTTCTTTGCTGCTTCTTACAGCTGGAGTAGATGATCTTAGGGGTCTTTTCCAGCCCCAAAGATTCTATGATTCTTTAGGCTAAGGTAGAATGAAACTCTGCCCACGGCTGCTTGCACAAAGATGGAGGCTGACCTCTGTACCATCAACACATGATGGTGAGCAGTGTTTTCTGGATCAAGGTCTTTAGCACCACTGGGCACAATGAGGAATCAGTCTCCTTTGTGAAATCACACAGGCTTTATAGACATTTCACACTAATCTTCAAGAGGAAGATAAAAACCCAACCTCAGCTTGGGTCTTCACGTCTCTGGTAGCTCAGGAGATAAAGACCTGTAATTCTTGGAAGCAGCAGACACTGATCTTTAGGAGTCTTGAATTAATTCACAGGAAGCTTCTTAGTATTCCATAAAACACACAACGCCTGCAAGTGCTGAGGGCTGAGCTGAAGCTTTTTTATGGAACCAGAAAACACCTGCATTCAAAACAGTGGTTGTTTAGACACAGAGATTCCCCAGGAAAGGCACCAGGGGCTGCTGTACACAGCCCACCTGCCTCTGGCGTGCTGGAGCCTTCACAACCTCTAAGGAATGGTTCTGCCAATAAAAATTCAGTGGCTTGCCCATTTTAAGAAGCACTGCCAAGAGCACAGGATCAAACCCAGAGCATTTGCCCATACCTGCCTCCCCAGCCCCAGCACGATCCAGCAACACCTTTGAAGCGGCCTGAGGCCAGCGGCGAGCCTGGGATGAGGCAGCCGGGCCCGACGGCCTCCACGCAGAGCGGCCTCAGAGCTGCACGTCGCCAAAAGGATGGGATTTCTGGTGCCAGGCTGCGGAGGACTCGCGCCCAGGCGTGTTCTGCGAATGCTGTGTTTTAATTACAGCTGTGCACAATCAAAGAAGACGCTCTGAAGTTTTGCAGCCGCTCGTCTGAGTGGTGTTACACAACCCTCGCTCCTGGCACACAACCTCCTGCAGCGGTTACATGCCGAAGCCGCATGCGTGCAAGGCGACGTTTCCTTGCAACATCAACAATAGAGTCACAGATACGAACTTCAGTGAGCTTTGTGCTCATTAAATCACAGCTGTTTCTCCTTGATGAAGCATTAGATCAAACATCGCTAAAACTGCCTTTGTTTGTGTACATACATACAAACACGCTTCTCCCTTTGTTCTGCAAAACAAATCTTAACAGAAAAGTGTTTATATTAAAACTAAGTAGAATTAAATGTCAATTAACAGTTTATAACAGTCTTAAGATAAGACTTTAGATGTATTGTAATGCCATAACAAACTAACAGCAGAACTGACATTGTTTTGGTTTCAGCTATTGTTTTCTCCTGGAAAGAAACTACCAGTGGATTAAAACACCTGCATGATTCTCAGCATTAACTTCTCAATTGGAAATGCACCTGAACTCCACTGCTTGCTTGTAAGAAGCTCAGATCACCTCACGTCACTTGCCTACCTGTTCATCGCAGCTCTGCAAGTGTGAGGAAGGCTTGGCTTTCATATAATAAGGTCTTTGTAACAAAGTAACACAGATCCTAGCACACTGCAGGCAGCACCATAGGAAAAGCTATGTCAGAACTTTCAATTTTGTCCACCCAGAGTGACAATATTGTTCAATGAGGATAATACAAACCTATCCTTCAATGAAAGGTATCTGTTTGTTTCCAAAGCTGCAGGGAATACAGAAAAAAAATGAACCTATTGAAGACACACCTAGTTAAGATAAGCAATAATCAACATTCTTCATTGCATTCTACACTGACACTCTTTGTGCAGCCCATCTTGCAACATGAATCAGAACAGAAGGTTTTACATGGGCAAATCAGAAATAACAGCTTCAAATAAGACTGTCCGTCCCTATGTTCCTTTTTGGAAGAGTTTATAAGCTTCAGGAGCTCTAAAAATGCTTCTGCCAAAAAAGATAAATAGGCTTAACCATTTTTAGAAGCACTGACAACACTAATGCTTCAAACCAGACTGCACCTGATGTCCCTTTTGGCAAATACAAGACCTCTAACTCTACAAAAAGCAGCAGCAGATATTGTTGAAGACTGAACTCTAGAATACGCTGAAGCATCCAATTTCAGTTCATTTCAAGTACAACTACATTACAGTCTACCAACATAGCTCAAAGCTAAGTTCACTTCTACATGAATTTACTTAGGAAAAGTAGCTTGTAGGAGCATTAATCCTGTGCCATGCCACCCAACTCCCACGTGCTACGCTACAAGCATTTCACTACCTTTGGAAAAGGAGATAAAGCTCGACAGCCAACTGCACTGCTCTTCTTCCACCGTGAACTCAGCAAGAAGATGGCAGCTGGAAGCAGGGCGGGCTATAAACTCCCTCCATAGAAATGTTACAGCATATGAAACATATGCTGCCCTATTGTCAAAGCTCAGTGCCTTCTTTTAAAGTTATCTGTCAAAAGGTGCAACGTATTTAAGATGACCAAAAGAAAAAAAAGAATAAGGATTTTAACTTAATTTCATCTGCAAATAGGTGCAGGGCAGGGACAAAATGCTAAGTATTTCCAGTTTAAGAGGAATATACTTCCAATCACTTTGGTGAGGGGGCATCTCTGCATGTTCCACAGATAAATGGGTTCTAAAGGCACTCTGGCAACACCTGTCAGCATGTCCCTCAACATGCCAGTGACAGGCAAGCAGCTTCCACCCTGTCCTGAAGACTCACAGATCAACTCAACATTGCAAGTGCTATGAACAAGTTTATGTTTTATTTAAACGCAGAAGAAAAGAATCCATCAAGCTTTTTTTTTTTTTTTAAAAAAAAAAAAAGGAAAGAAAAAAGAAAAAAGAGGGAAGTAGTTTAACAAGGCAGAAAAGAGCTCTGTAGCTGTCCTTGGCACAGAAAAGGGCTGAAAAGCAAAAGCTATTCAAGAAGAAACTAGTTTCACCTTGTTTGAACTAGAAACTCTCTATAGGAGTTAAGCAAACAAAGTTATCCTTTCAATAACCCCAACACCTGGAGCACAAATAACCAGGCAAACAAACACATTCAACAGTACTTTGTCCTTCTGTAGCATCTCTCATCTGGGGCACCCAGGATTTTCTGGTTAACATTAGGATGCATTATTTTTGGTTTTACATTCTAACAAAACCAGAATACAGATTTGAGTGCCATGAGAGTTTATGAACTGCTCGACTTAGTCTCCACACATAAAATCTTCAGAGTTCATAAATAATCAGCTGCCCAAAAGTGGCATTTAAACAGCCCTTTAATCATATTAGGTGTCAAAAACGTCAGAACAAGAAAGCAGAAGTCATTTAAAAAAAAAAAAAAAAAATCACATTTAACAATAAGATCTGCACAAAACTGTGGAGGTAAAAGATTGATAAATGAGAAGCAGGAGGATGGTGATGCAAGAATAGTAATCAATCTTCACTGAAATGACTGTATTTTGCACTGAA